GGATGTGAAAAGGACTTTGGATTTGATCCATATCTGCTTTGCCAGGTGGCCACGTATCTGACCTTTCTATTCTTCCTTCCTCGAACTTTCTCCTAATTATTCACTTCCATTTTTAATATTCTCTTTTTACTTTATTTGATAATTCCTAAAAAAATTTAAAATGGACTAAATATTTTATTTAAAAGAATTGTAAGATATAATTTTTCAATAAAATAAAAGCTAAAGAAAGATATTCAATAATTTCACTAATAAAAAAATTAACCCTCTATTTAACAATGTTTAATATGAGAATAGTTGTTAAATAAATATTGTGATAATTTTAAAATTATTTTAATTTTTTAATAATCATATTAAATATATAATGATAATAATAAAATAAACATTAATATAAGATTACCTGTATAATCATTATTATATGTCTAAAATAATAATTTTTAATCATGATTTTTTTTATAATTATCAATATACAGATTATAAAAATAATTAATGTTATATATTATTAACAATAATAGTTATATATGTATATTACTAATCATGGTTATTAACAAAATCATAATCATATATATTATAATTTTTTTATTATTCTCCTTTTGTCCACCATGATTTATAAAATAATATTTTCACTTTCTAAGTATTTATCTCTAATTATATATATATATATATATATATATATATATATATATATTAATTATATGTTTCTATTCGTCATTATCTTTTTCTTTTTTTTACTTCATTTATAATTTTTTATTATTCTCCTTTCGTCCATTATCGTGATTTACTAAATAATTTTCTCACTTTTTAAGTATTTATCTCTATTAACATATTTTAAGTATTTATCTCTATCACCAATGTTACCAACACAATCAATGATCTCAAAAGGATAATAATAACAAAATAAATGTGTTTAATGTTATACTAAAAAACCTTTTATTAAATGAGTGGGAGGTTGATGTAATTCTGCTTACTGATTTAAATAAAGAATCTATCAAGTACTAGAAATACATCAAAAATTTAAAGCAAATTTTATTTCGTATTTTTAACTTACGTTAAAGATCTTGAAAGTGAGTGTTATAAAACAACAAAAATGATAAGGTTCGAGGACTTAATTCGATCTCAAAGATTAATCAGATGATCCAATTTGAAAAAAAATTATAAAGACAGCACAAACTGAAAGTTTGATAATAGTCGGGAGTGACTTTTGAGAAAAATAAAAAATAAAACACAAATAGTACTAATTCTTTTTCTTTGCTTTCTTCAAGAAATTTGATTTTGTATATGTTTTATGTTTTTACCGAACTGAAGATGATCAACAAGATAGAAAGATGAAATCGGTTGACTGATTTTCGAATAAACTTTAAAGACAATCTTCGGGAAAGTGCAGAGCCCCACGTGCAAAAAGTACTCGACACTCAAGTCGGTTATTAGACAAGAGATTGATGTATATGAGAATGAGTTAGGAGATGAGATTACTCCCTCGTCTAGTATTCAAAAGATAATAATAGACTAAGATATAATTAATTGTTAGCCCATAAAATAATAATTACTATAAGATATTATAACGAGAATAAAGATAATCAATAACAAAATAAATAAAAATAGTTTCTTTAATGGATTTGGGTCGATAAGCATGATTAAGTGACCCAATAGTTTTGCCCTCGCAAATAGTTTAGTACTGTCTTATCCTTGAAAATAGCATTACAATTAGCCTAGCAAATAACCTAGTACTGTCCTACCCTTGCAAATAGTCTAGGGTTGTTGTCCTACTTTTGCAAATAGCCTAGGGCTGCTATCTTGCCCTTCCAAATAGCTTAGGGCTACCTACCCTTCCAAATAGCCTAGGCCTAGGGCTGTTGTCCTACCCTTGGAAATAGCCTAGGCCTAGCACTGTTGTCTTGTCCTTACAAATAGCCCAGGGTTGTCTTGCCCTTTCAAATAGCCTAGAGTTGTTGTCTTGCCCTTGCAAATAGCCTAGGGTTGTTGTCCTGCCCTTACAAATAGCCTAGGGTTGTTGTCCTGCCCTTGCAAATAGCCTAGCCTAAGCGTAACATTGTTGTCCTACCCTTGTAAATAGTCTAGTCTAAGCCTAGCACTGTTGTCCTACCCTTGCAAATAGCCTAGCCTAAGACTAGCACTGCTATCCTACCCTTGCAAATAACTTAGCACTGCTCTGCCCTTGCAAATAACCTAGCCTAAGCCTAGTCTAACCTAAGTCTAGCACTGTTGTCCTACCCTTGCAAATAGCCTAGCACTGTTGTCCTACCCTTGCAAATAGCCTAACACTGTTGTCTTGCCCTTGCAAATAACCTAGCATTATTGTCCTACCCTTACAAATAGCCTAACATTGTTGTCCTACCTTTGCAATAACCTAGCACTGTTGTCCTACCCTTGCAAATAACCTAACATTGTTGTCCTACCCTTGCAAATAACCTAGCACTATTGTCCTGTCCTTGCAAATAACCTAATAATATTGTCCTTCCCTTGCAAAAAACTTAGCATTGTTGTCCTGCCCTTGCAAATAGTCTAACACTGTTGTCCTACCCTTGCAAATAACCTAGCACTATTGTCCTGCCTTTGCAAATAACCTAACAATGTTGTCCTGCCCTTGCAAAAAACTTAGCATTGTTGTCCTGCCCTTGCAAATATCTTAGCACTGTTGTCTTGCCCTTGCAAATAGCCTAACACTGTTGTCCTATCCTTGCAAATAGCCTAGCACTGTTGTCCTACCCTTGCAAATAGTCTAGTATTGTTGTTCTGCCCTTACAAATAGCCTAACACTATTGTCATGCCCTTGCAAATAGCCTAGCACTGTTGTCCTGACTTTGCAAATAGTTTGACACTGTTGTCCTGCCCTTGCAAATATCCTGACATTGTTGTCCTACCCTTACAAATAGTCGGTAAGACAAGAAGATGAAGTTGGTTGACCGATCTTTGAACCAACTTTGAAGACGATCTTTGGAAAGCATAAAGACCCACATACAAAAAGGCACTCTGACGTTCAACAATAACTACTATAATATATACAAATAATTTCTTTAATGGATTTGGACTGATAAACATGATTAAATGACTTCATAATTTTTGAATTAGATAGATATATTCTATATTTTCAATAATGCACTCAACAAAAAAATATAAGTAATACTATAATTTATTAGTTTTCTAATGATAATATTACATTAGAATGAGATCAAATGACCTTTTTAAGTGTTTAAATAGGGTTTTTTTCCCTCTTTATTACTAATCAATAACTATAAAAAAAATTAAAATTTAAAAATTACAATATTTATTTTATCAATACATTCTACCGTGATTTTCACTTAAATTTTTAACTAATCATTATTTAAATTAACAATTAAAAAATATTATTAATATTCTATTAATAATTAATTATAGATTGAAGATATTAATGCACTAATTTTTATTTTTAATTTCTTAATTAATAAACTTAATCCAAGTTAATAGTGTGCTACTCAGTGTTTACGAAAAAACGAAACAACATTTATTCAATATGTCCTTATAGAAACAAAATTAATGTTTATTTATATATGGCAACTAAATTTTAAAACTAAAAAAAAATATTAATGTTATTCAACTAATCAAAAATTATTTTAAAATAAATATTATATATAAATAATCTTAAAATATAATATAATATTTTTATTTCAATATATTTATATTAAATTAAAAATAACAAATAATAAATATATTTATTTAATCATAAAATAAGTTTTATTAATTTTATAATAATTCATTTAAAAATTATGTTAAAAAATAATATGTCGTGTTAGAATGGTAAGATGGTAAAAACATAATAATAATAAAAAAAGATGACACTGGGGTGCTATAAGCTTGACATCTCTCTTGAAAAATAACATTTTTTTCTCACACATCGTAATTATCGCAATTATTATGATTCACAATTCCTATGCTTCTCTTGCAAAAACTCTGTTGTACAAAGTTAAGTTTTTAATAGATATTATTTATTTTTCTCATCATAACAGCAACATTAATTTTTAAAAAGATTATAGTTTTATCGGTGTTCTAAACTTAACAATAATTTTTTTCTTTGCTGATTTATCCTCAAGTTAATTACTATTTCTCTCTTGATAAAAACAATACTTGGAAAGAATGATTATTTTTTTATTAAACATATATATATATATATATATATATATATAATTAATCTTAATTTATATGAAAAAAATTTAAACATATATATGAGATAGAAGGGAAACAACCACAAAATTCATGAACACTTCTTATCAATTTCATGGTGAAAATCTGATTATAACAACTTTTATCTGATAGAATTAATTTTTTTTTAAATGAGAAAGATGAGTTAGATGAAATAGATCAGTAAAGTGCAAAAGAAATAATAAAAAGAAAAGATGCCATATTACCAAATTTTAATTTTTTTTATGGAAAATGATACTTTAATAACCTAAATCCATACAACTCTTGTAAACAACTCTATTTTAATATAATAATAGTTTTACTTTATTTTTATTTTTATTAAATCAGTCTATAAAATATTATATTAATAAAAATAAGTTATTTAAAAGGTGGTATGATTTCTGGTTGTAAAAATATCCCCATTTTTTTTTATTTCCTTCCTCCACCCATCTCAAATGTATCATTTTGACATTTTCCTGTCCCATCTTTCCATCTTCACAACCAAACATGTTGAAGAAGATGGCTATTGAATTGAACTCATTAAAAAAACGAGAAACAAATATGTGAATGTAGTAAAAGTTGGTTGGATTTTGTGGCAGCTTTGCCCTCATTATTATTTGTCTGCACATATAGTCATGGACTAAAGGCAAGAGCCCCCCAACACAACCTCAAAGACGGTTATCTCCAAGTTTCACTCCCTCGTTTTCTCCGCCACTTCCTCTTACTACCTTGTTTCTCCTTCTTCTCCTCTCTTCTATAATAACGCCCACTTTTTTGCTTCCTTTTCACTCTGAATCCATTTGGCCTTTTGTTGCAGCGAGACCAAAATGTCTTTCACTGCAACCAAGTTTGCACCGTCTCCTCTCCCTCTCAATTCCACCACCCCCAGATCCAATGACAAGCCTCTCTCTTTCTCCTTCGATCACTCCAAACCCAACCCTTCTTCCTCTTTCCTTGGATCCACTCGCAAGCTTCTTCGCTTCAATGCTCTTGCTAAGCCTCATGCTCGTGCTCGTGCTTCTTCCCCTGTTGCTGCTGTTCTTCTCCAACAAACCTCCAATCTGGTCACCCTTTCTCCTTCTTTCTCCCTCTCTGCTTGAAAAATCTCTGCTTTCTGTGGATGGGTATTGGTTCTCTGAATGGGTTTGGTAAAAAATGTTCCATTTTTCACTCACTTTAGCTCATTGAATTGAGCTGGATGATTGAAATGTTACTTTTTTTTTTTCTATAAATTATTATTTGGGTTGCTGTTTATTCTTTTTAGATATGTTGTTGCTTAACAACTCGTTTGGGTTGGAAATCTCAATTTTTCACCCAATTCAGTTTACTGGTATTGGACCTGGTTGGGTTTAATGAGCTTGATTCAAATGTCAATTTTTTTTATTAAATTATTATTTGGGTTGCTGTTTATTCTCTTTCAGATGTGTGGTTCTTCACACTGTGGTTACATATTTATATTTTACAGCACAAAACTTAGATGCAATTCTACAAGTGCATTTGGTGTTGTTGTTCAATCAGAATTGGAGTCTCACTCGCTAATAAATTAATCCGTGTTGTTGACCTTTAATGGAAGCTTTTATTACTGGTATTAGCTATGTGAAACTTGAAAAACAACGCCAGAAAGCATCCATGGACTTGCGTTGCGGTTAAGTTGTGTGTTATTTGTCCAATTGGCTTCAGAAGTTCAGATTAATGAAAATTGTTGGTGTTGTGCTACTTGTAATATATGTAAGTTAGGAATTTTATGTTTGGGAGTAAGTGTTTTGAGATTACTGCTTTTGTCTGGATTTGTGAGTGCAGCTTGTTACTAAAGAGGAAGGGTTGGAGCTCTATGAAGACATGATACTAGGGAGGTTCTTCGAGGACAAGTGTGCCGAGATGTATTATAGGGGCAAAATGTTTGGTTTTGTTCACTTGTACAATGGCCAAGAGGCTGTGTCAACTGGATTCATCAAGCTTCTGAAGAAGGAGGATTATGTAGTGAGCACCTACAGAGATCATGTTCACGCATTGAGTAAGGGGGTCCCATCTCGGGCCGTGATGAGTGAACTGTTTGGGAAGGCAACAGGATGCTGCCGAGGTCAGGGCGGTTCAATGCATATGTTTTCAAAAGAGCACAACATGCTTGGCGGGTTTGCATTCATTGGTGAAGGAATTCCAGTGGCCACTGGGGCTGCATTTTCAAGCAAGTACAGAAGGGAGGTGTTGAACCAGGCAGATGCTGATCAGGTGACATTGGCATTTTTTGGAGATGGGACTTGTAACAATGGACAGTTCTTTGAATGCCTGAACATGGCAGCTCTGTGGAAATTGCCAATTGTGTTCGTGGTTGAGAATAATTTGTGGGCTATTGGGATGTCGCATCTCAGAGCAACTTCAGATCCGCAGATATGGAAGAAAGGGCCAGCCTTTGGAATGCCAGGGATTCATGTTGATGGGATGGATGTTTTGAAGGTCAGAGAGGTGGCGAAGGAGGCAATTGAAAGGGCTAGAAGGGGAGAGGGACCAACTCTAGTAGAATGTGAGACCTACAGATTTAGAGGACATTCATTGGCTGACCCTGATGAGCTTCGCGACCCTGGTGAGCATTTACTTGGATAGTGTCTTCTCTTTATAGTTCTCAATTTTGAAGTGTATATGTTGATGTTCCTTTGCATTTCCGGTGGTTTTATCTTCAGTTGCACTATGTATAATCCTTACACATTTGCTTTGTCATTTAGTTTGCTTAACTTTGTTTAGATTAGTGATATTAGAATTATTAATTGATGGAGGTAGTCATGCATACTAAATTTTTTTAACAGTGTCAAGAGGTATTATACTTAATTACTGAAGAGACTAAACAACCAATTTCTCAAACTTTTAGTTATTGTTCTCAAATTTGGAATAACATTTTACAATTTGTTTATGCTTGATTATGATACATTTTACAATGGTGGTAGAATTGAGAGAAAAAATACTGCTGTTTTTAACCTGGCTGAGGTATACAGAGAATTATTAAAACGGCCTTGATATAAAGATGAACCAACTGTTAGACAAATGACATCTAGAGGGGGTGAATAGATGCACAAATTGAAATAGATTCCAAATTAAAAATTTATTTTAGATGTCTAATAATTTGTTAATTCAATTTTAAAGCGGAAGCGATGATAATATGATCAGGAAGATATAAGAGAAATGATTAAGAAAAGTAAAGTGATAAGGGGAAGATAAGAGCACATAGTAATTTATACTGGTTCGGGTATAGCCAACCCTACATCCAGTTTCTAGTCACCTTTAACACGAGAGTGACCCTAATTCACTATCTTTCAAATTCAGTTTACAAATTACAATCAACTTAGCAAAGGAACCAGTAAAGAGTAAACTAATTAAAAAGACAATCACCTCCTTAGAAACTCACTAAGGATGAACACCTCCCTAGAATCCCACTAGGGATGAACACCTCCTCTGAACAAATCAAAGGATGAACACACCTCCTTAGAATCCCACTAGGGGTGAACACCTCTTCTGAACAAATCAAAGGATGAAAACACCTTCCTGAACAAATCAAAGGGATGAACAGTTTCGACACAGGAAACTCAAAGAAATATAACAGAATAACAGTGACTACTTAAACCCTAAACAAGGAATTTAACAATCAACTACTTAAGCCCACAAAGGATGAAGGCGATAAAATAAGAACAGTCACACCTGGGTAATGGAGACAACAAATTGTAGAAACCTGTAGAATGACAACCTCCAAGAACAAGTGTGATTAACAATGAAAGTGTAGAAGACAGTAGAGAAGAGGGTTTTCTCATAAGGTGTAAAATACTTTTGTTGTCTTGCTCAAAATTCTTTTCTTAAAACTGAATGAGTGTAAAAAAATTGTATTTTTGAATTCCGTAATTGTGTGTATTTTATTTTTCATCAAAACTTATTTAAATAGGAAAATAATATTAGAAAATAGTCGTTGGTCATTAATACTTTCGTAGAGAAAAATTAGGATGTATTCAAAAATATTTATTCTTCAAAATGGATATATTTTTCAAATTTGAACTACCATAATCGATTATGTTACCGGTATAATCGATTATGACAAAGAGAAAATCGTTTTTCCATTTCTGATGCATCATAATTGATTATGACAGTGAAAAATGTCATGTTACGAAATTTTATCATACTTGTGCTTTGGAGGCTTATGTATAATACCACTTCATCAACTTGTACTTCCATATCCAGTATTCTAAGACTTTATATAGTCTTCAGGTGAGCTTGCTTGAGTCTTGAATGTTGTTGACTTGAATCATCATCAAAATCATTTCTTGGGAATTAGGAACATGTTTCACATTGTCATCAATCTCCCCCTCATTGTTTTCACCAACTCATTTAAGGATCTATATATTCTACTCCTGATTGTGTAAATTAAAATATAATTAGTTTGTCACTTCCCCAAAAAATGGATTACCAATTTCATAACTCATAAAAGTAATTCCATATCTAGCACTACATTATTGATGGTGCTAAGCACACAAGTTTTTTTTTTTTTTTTACTCCATTGTCATATGGCATTCAAAGTACACTTAAATTTGATGGTTTCAGTTACTTAGTTATTCTAACATGGTAAATGGGTACTCTTGTGATGTCCTCGTGAATAATAACTACGTGATCTACTTCCATATGACTAGTAACTAGTGCAAGCAATTTGGTGAAGTCAGTATATTTTTATTTCATGATGAGCCATCTCTTTTGGATAAGCTTTCATCAAGTCTTCTGTTTGTGTATGCGATGTTCACAAGTCATACTAGCTACTGATCATAATTTCTTTTCTGCTCTGGCAGCTGAGAAGGAACACTATGCTGGTAGGGACCCCATCACTGCACTGAAACAATACCTTATTGAGAACAATTTAGCCAGTGAGCAAGAATTGAAGGCCATAGAGAACAAAATCGACGAGGTTCTTGATGATGCAGTTGAGTTTGCAGACAAGAGCCCTCTTCCACCCCGCAGTCAGCTGCTGGAGAATGTCTTTGCTGACCCAAAAGGCTTTGGAATTGGACCAGATGGAAGGTATAGATGTGAGGATCCAAAATTCACTGAAGGCACTGCTCACGTCTAATCTTTTCTTTCTTTCAACTTTCAGTTTTGTATGAATGTTCTTTTCACATATGCTTAATCAGTGATGAAATGTTTGTTACACAATGTCTAATATAATCAGGATTTGTCCTCTAGGTTGGAAATTTGGATTTGTGTCTTACATTTATAATTGTTTGTGGAACTAATGTCATGAAATGACAATCTCCCTTATAGATTACAGCCTCTACCAACGGTGTGTACTAAAATTTTTGTCTCTCTTTGTTCTTACTTTCTGTCGATTTATTGGTGAAGTTCCATAAAAGTATAATATAGATAAGATCAATGCTTCTCTGGGTTTAATACCGTACTGTTAGTTTCATATGCAACTAAAATGTTGTGAATCTTTCTCGAAAAATATGAAGTTTTCCTTATAAATTAACGAAAGCCAAACATTTATTAATCTGTGTATGATAGCCAGAAAGTAATTAGTTGCGTTATTGTTTATATTATGTCAATATAAAACCAAACGCAATATTAATAATCAATGTTAAATTGAGAATTAATTAAAATTTTTAAAATATAGATACCAAAATCAAGTTAAAAATAATGGATAAAAAAACCAAATTTTATATAATAAAAACCAAAATGACAAAAGAAAAATTAATAACCAAAACAAAAGTATATTTATTTAAGCTAAATAACATTTAATATTTTAATTTAACAATACGTATAACATAGAATATTCATAAATATTTGTCAATTAAAATAAATTTTTAAATTAAATTTTAGTTTTTAGTCTTCATTTTCTATATTTTACATAGGTTTTACGTACAGTGGGCCTAGCTTAATTTGTCATCCTCTACACTATCTACTGCACTTCTCATCCTTTCCTTTTGGGCGGATAGAAGCAAAACAAACAAAAATGCCTCCCGCTAGTTACAGTCTATTTCACACTTTCGTTACAACCTCTTCTCATTCTTCTTCTGTGCTTCCCTTGAAACTGTTCAAACCCCAATTGAAGCGATTCATTTTACATTTCGGGCTTCCAAGGCGTTCTCGCACACCTCTAGAACCTTTTTTTTCTTCTCCTTCTTCTTCTATCTCTCAGCTGAAGAAAACTAGGGACGTGGTTGAAGAAAGGATTTATGGAGAAGAATCCGTTTACCCTCATAAGGGTGATGCTTTTTCAGACCAAGAACATAACGAAAAGCTTGAAAAAGCGTGTGAAGTGTACGTGTGCAACCTCCCCAGAAACTGTGATGCAGCATACTTACTTGACATGTTCAGGCCATATGGGACCATTCTATCTGTCCAGGTTACCTTCTCGGCTTCTCTTCCCTTTTTTCTAATTTCAATTTTTGTTCTTTTATATTTGTTTTTCCGTTATAAATTAGCTCCTACGATTTATTTTGAAAAAAAAAAAGTATGATATTTTTGCTTTTACTTTTAGTTTATTATGTATTTTCTGAAATATTTCAAAAATATCACTGTTATTCCTGTTTCAAATAAATTTTCTTTTACAGTGTTTACAAAACATGAAATAAGGTGGTATTTTTGAATCGTGAATAAAGCTATTTTTATTTTCTTTTCATTATTAATATAAAAGGTTCACACTTTCAAAGCTTCTTCCATTTGGTTCTTCAATTATTCTTTTGGTTTCTCCTTTTTGTTTGATTTTATTATACATTCTTATATTGGGTTTCATTAATTTCTTTTTATAATTCAAAGTTACAGGCTAATATCTAATGCATAAGATAGTGGGCACTGCATGCATATAAATTCATAGAGATTGATTCAAATAGAATGAAATATTAGTTTTTAATATTACAAGGCCAAGTGCTTGTTTTTAATATTAGTTTTAAAATATTTGGACTAAGAATTTGGTTGCTAATAGTGTAGAATTATTTTAGAAATCAATTTTTTGAAACAAAAATGGTGAGAATGAAATGAAATAGACCCCTAGAGACGTTGTTTTACAATTTAAGCACTTGGTTAATGGTCTTTTTACAAAAAATTCCAAACAAGAAGATAAAATCATATCCTTAAAAAATATGAATTTACCTTTTCAAACCAATTTGTCATGCTATACTTTTCTTTTTCTATTATAAAGAGTAAAAAAAAATGAGGGGCATTCTTTATTTATAGTAGTGTTCTCATCTGCTCATAGATGTAGATTCAATGCATGTTTGGTTTGAAGTTACAAAAAGAATTTTTTATTTCAATACAAAAATTAAAACTTCTAGTGCATAGTTTTGAAAAAGAAGAAGTTGCTATTAATGGAGTAAAATTGGGAAGAAATATCCGTGCTCGCGCATAAGATTGGTTACAAGATTTTCATTATCAAATTTTGCCAGTCCAATTTGAAAATTGTGTTATAAAGCGAAGTTTCTAATCATTATAATTTGAATTTCGAATCAGCAATTCAGAAATGATAGGTGAGTATTATGTCTGAGAGTTTGGAATCATCATTAGATCCTGTCTATATCGTGTTGTTGTACTTGCTTTACTTCAGGTTTGCCGGAATGATGAGACTAATGAAAGTAAGGGGTGTGGTTACGTGACACTGGGATCTATATACTCAGCAAGAAATGCAGTTTCTGCGTTGGATGGATCAGTTAGTACTGTGAAACATTCTCTCCCTTGTTTGTATTAGAAACATTATGAAGTGCTTGATTTAATGTTTTTGTCTGTTTTTGACCGAAGGATGTTGGTGGGCGCGAAATGAGGGTTAGATTTTCAATTGAGATGGATTTTAAAAGGAGGGGATCTTCCACCAAGAGAATCTTATACTATGAATCTTCTCATAAGTTGTATGTTGGCAATCTTGCTAAGACTATTAGACCTGAACAGTTGAGAGATCTCTTTAGCAGATTTGGAAATATAGTTGGTGCAAGAGTATTGCTTGATTTTAAACAAGGGAAAAGCCGAGCCTATGCCTTTCTCTCCTTTCAATCAGAGGCAGAACGTGATGCAGCAATGTCTCTCAATGGAACAGTAAAATCCGTTTCAACACTTAATGATTTTGTTTCATTTGTTACTGTTTGATGCTTAGTTTGATCCTTTCTTGCAGGAATTTTATGGTCGAACACTAATAGTTAAAGAGGGTGTTGAGAGGACAACCTTTAACTGAAGCTCCAGTGTCTACATAAATATGCCAGCAATTTTGGTTTATCACATGGAGGAAGATTTCTAGTGTGTATAGCTGAGGCATATTTGTGGGGCTTCTGAACTAGAAAATGTTAGGTCAGAGAGGAGCATAGATTCATTCTATTATTTCTTCTCATGAATTTCAAATTGCAATGAGTAATATCAGTTGAGTCAATTTGATCTTTGAATTTAATCATGGGATGAATACTCCAACAGTTGCTACTACAAATTTTGCAGAGAATTGTGAAGATATAACGAGAATAACCTAGTGCAGTTGTCATAATAATAAATGAAAAAAGAGGAAAGCTAGTACATCACGTAACAGGTGCCTTATTATAGGTCACAATAGCATGCGTGACTGTGTTTAGAAATGGGTTTGCAAGACAGTCTATCATGGCTAAAAAACACAGACGACAGTTAAGACGTGAAAAATCACATCAAAAGCGCATCCAAACAGAGGAGAAGATTTTCATCATCATGATCCCTTTCTTCTTCGGCTCTTAGGATATATTTTTTCGCTTATCGATAATTATGTTATTTCCAACCAAAACACAAATTATGGTAAATTTTTATGTTACAGGATAAATTTCTAATACTCATTTATTAATATAAGTCCCAAACTAATAAAAAAAACTTTGATAATTTTATTTATGTGATTTTAGATATATAAATAGAATAAAAAAACATTGTCATTGAATCCACCCATACAGTTATTACTGTAGGAAGTAATACTTATCTCATTTTACCATAAAAAGAAAGATAAGCATTTTATATTTTAACTTCTTTTAAACTCTTAATATTTTTATTTTCTAATTTTATTTTTAAGTTCTTGATATTTTATACTTATTAATTTAATCAATTTTTTTATATAATTATACTTAAATGTAATAAATAGTTGTCATATTTTATTATAACATACAATAAAATGAAATTCAGAGATTTTACTAATATTAAAAAAATTAGGAATGGTATTAAAGTGATTGGAATAAAAAAAATAACAGATTAAATCTGGGTGGCTCCACGTGTCAGTGTCTAGACCACGAGATCAAAGTATTGTAAAATAAAACCCGATATATCTGTACAGAAAAATATCGGGGTGAGAGAAGACAGAAGGACGACAAGTGTCCAAAAGGTGGACCCCACGTATGACAGAAGATCACCTCAAACGCTGCATATTAAAATAACGGATGGCGGTAACTATACCACGTCAGCATGTGAGCAGCGATCTACCTTTTGATGATCCAGTGAGGGAGATTGAGATTTTGGGGGGAAGATATTTTTAACGATTTTCGCGGTTGTGGGCGAAAGCTGGTCACATAGTGAATCAGAATCGGAAGCATCTAAAGAAGAAGAAGAAGAAGAAGAACGGTTTGTTTGGAAACAACAAATGATTTTTCTCATCAAATTTAGCTATTTATTATTATATTATTGTTGCTCCGAATACGTCGATGATGGTGAAGTCAATTTCATTTACTCTGTTTTCTTTTCTTTGTCTTCCTCGTCGTAACCGATTAGGGTTTATCTCTTCGGTCGTGGAATGAAGCATGCTGTTGTTCGAGAATGGCTGAGTTGAACGGTACGATGCAAGAGCACGGGACGGACAACAATGGCGATCGCTCTGCAGAGGTGGTTCGGTGGGAGACGTTTCTGCCGCGGATGGTGCTCAGAGTCCTGCTTGTAGAAGCTGATCATTCTACTCGACAAATCATTGCTGCGCTTCTTCGCAAATGCAGTTACACCGGTTCGTCTTCTTCTTCTTCTTCCTAATTCGGGAAGAATATTTTTATGGATGTCGCTGTTTGTGTTGTTTTCTTTCGAATGATGTTTGTTGCGTTGTATTATTTAATTAGTTTCCGTTTGCTTGAGAAAATTTACGTCGTGTTATGCTATTTTGATTATGGTCTATGGAATTAGGTTTCGTATATAGCAGCGGTAGTATCCAGAGGATACTTCTATTTAATTTTCCACGTGTTGGATTTAGTCATCGTCGTAGTTACGTTGGTCAATGTCTTGGTTTTTTTTCCCGCAGAAATTTAATAAGCTTTTGCTGTTATGATGACTTATGAGTTGTGTTTATAAAAAATTAGAATCTCTGTTTTCATTCATATATAGGTTTATTCATCCCTATGCATAGAGTGTTTTGTTCAACGCAATGAACCTGGTTACCTTAACCAAGGTTTTAAAAAGCAGTCCGCAACCCTGATTTTCGCTGCAAGGTCACGAGTGTCCATGACCACTGCAATAGAAGTATCGACAATTTTTGCAATATCAATAAACACGATGAAACTGCAACTGTAACCGCAATTTAATCTTGACTCTTACTGCAACTTTAGTTTTTTAAGTAGGAAGTAAATTGGGTGGCATTTCAATAATTCAATTATTTATCAACGGGTATAGTTCTATTGGTTAAGCAGTGTAAGTGAGTTGTTATAAACTATTAGTACCAAGTTTGTCTCCGTCCTTTGAACAAAAAATGAATGATCCAATTGTTTTAATTTCAACCCTTTCGTTTCAAAATGATGTATTTATTTGCATTGAATATTTGGAGACACATACGGGAAGGAAAGTCTGGTATAGTTAATGATGTACTATGAATGCATATCTTTAGTTGGAAAATAATACAATTTCTTTTTTTAATAAACTGATAATGGAAAACATTATGAATTATCCGGATTGATAAACTGATAATGGCAATCTTTTTTCATGGTTTGTTGTTTAGTGTTAATTTTCTTTTCCATGTAGTTATCGCGGTTCCGGATGGATTAAAGGCATGGGAATTGTTGAAGAAGAAGGCTTCAGAGCTAGATCTCATAATAACTGAAGTGGATCTCCCAGCAATATCTGGATTTGCACTTCTTTCTTTAATCATGGAGCATGAAATTTGTAAAAACATTCCTGTCATAAGTATGTTGAGTACTCTATACTTGTATTTCTAGTATCGATGTTAGATAGAATTGGCTAATGGGCTCACGTTTATTCTCATTGGTGTGCAGTGATGTCTTCTCATGATTCAGTAAGCATGGTGTTGAAATGCATGCTAAAAGGGGCAGTTGATTTTCTTATAAAACCTATTCGGAAGAATGAACTTGGGAACTTGTGGCAGCATGTGTGGAGAAGGCACGCAGTATGTCATATCTTTCAATCCTTTTACATATTTTTTTGTATTATTTTCCTTTTTTATCATGGCTTGCTCTTTTAGCTTATATCTTATTACTTTTTTACTTTCCTCTCTGTCGTATACTTTTTTTTCAGAATAGCACTCCTACTCAAAATACAACATTCTCGCCAAAAAACCTTACAACTGCCTCTGAGGACAACTCTGCAAGCAATAAATCTAGTGGTTCGGTGGCTTCCTCTCAGAAAAACAACGAATGGAGTGAAAGATTAAGTGAGGCTCAAGTAAGTTTCACTGCCTTAATTTTGCCAAATTTGTCGTGTAACATGATTCTTAGATATGTCTATTTTGTTAGAGTGTGGTTTGTTGAGCGTGAACTGATTGACTTTTAATTTATATTTTATATCAGAAATTCTTTCAACATTTGTCACTCTGCATGGATTAAGTGACATGTAAAGACATGCTATTTAAATTCTATTGGACAATGCATTTACAAAACCATTTAGCTTGAGGAAAATATATTTTCTTGATTAGTTTTGCTTCTGAAATTTCACATAGAAACTACAAGTTTTGCAAACTATATCAAGAGCACTTGTTCAATGCCAATTTTGGAAGCTGAGAGTACATACGTGAAAAATGTGCAGGATGTACCACTGTCGAAAAGCTCTAAACAGAAGAAAATTGATTTGGTGAAGCATGAAAAATTTGCCAGATTTGATAGTGAATCAGCTGAGATTAATAATGAAACAAGAGGTATACGATTTTATTTACACTTGGATAAATAATGTGTTTTTATCTTGTTCTGATGTATTGACTGTTGTGCCATCTATTAAAAACATTTAATGCAGATAAATCAATTACAACTGTATCAGATGCTGCAAGGTGCAACAAAACTTTTGAACCGACAGATTTAAGGCTAGAAGAACAAGGGAATGGCTCTTCTGATACTGAAATTGAGATTGAAATCTTAAAATCTGACTTAGGCATTGGTTATTCTATTATTAGCACTGAGTTGCATGGATGCAGTGATGAGCGGGTGGAACCTTCTAAAGGAGCTATTGACTTGATTGCCACATTTGGAAATCTTCCAAAGTTCCCTAATGAAAACTGTAGTCTTGATGGTACAACCAAGTTTGACTGTGTTACGGAATTGGAACTTTCTTTAAGAAGTGAGTTTCCTGGAAGCTCAGGTAAACAAACAAGTGAAGCAACAGAGGAATCTCAAAGATTGAACCATTCAAACACTTCTGCATTTTCTTGGTGAGTTCTGTGTTCTTTTGTGACATTTTTAGTTCTTTAAATGATATCTACCAATACCAGGTGCCGAAAAATCTTTCCTCTGACCCCTAAAGAAACTAATTTTGATCAGCTGTGGAATTTTGTTTTACTGTTTCTCGTGTTATTTCATGTCTTTGGTCAGTCATGTTTATGCTGCTGCTCTATATATAGCGTTTGCATTGGTGAAAGCTGAGTAAATGGTGATTTGATGTAAAACATTATTTTGAGAGCCTATAATCTAGTGGAAAGATCCAATTCATGGTAAATTTTGAGAGCCTATAATCTTATTATAATTTTGTGGAAGGATCCAATTCATGGTAAATTTTGAGAGCGTATAGTTATGTGGGTGTTTTTGTGCAGTCATCTGCAATAAGAGGAATTCTCCAATGAGGTTTTGTTAAAAGAAATTGGGATTGTTCATTTTATGATTATAGATAAAATCATCTCTATCTTAAACTCTACAGGTTGGTCCCTCTTTTGCTAAACATTAAACTTCTGTACTCTTTTGGTTCTCCCAACCCCCAGCACCCAAAAATGAAGGCCATTTTTGTGATTTGATCCTTGGATGATGAGAAATCAGTATCCATCCTTTCATTCTAAATTACTTTTGCTAATGACCTTTTAAATAAAATCAACTTCTGATGGTGGTGGGTTACAATATGTGCAGGTATAGTAATAGTAAATTGTTGCACCCTCTTTTCCGAACACCATCAATTACATCCGCTGAAGTAAACAACCCCAGTTGGGATTCTCTTGAATCCCATAAACTGTCTCGAACTACTTCTGGAAATTGTTGTCAGTATGGTGGCTCAAATCAAAACCTAGAGAATATGATCAGTACAGTCATTGATCAGTATGGACAAGTTAAACCAGAAGTATCAAACAGTCAACTTGGAATCTTACCTGTTTCAGGGGTTATTTCAGATCTTAAGTCCAACGTACATGGTAATGTTTTCACTTCTGTGTTCTACGCACCATCTGGTACTCACCCTGTGTGGAGTCCGAAGCCAGCCTTCCAGAACGAGAGTTCTCCCTTTCCCACAAGTACCTCTTCCCAGTCCAATCCTGAAAGTCACAACTCTGACCATGACTGTTCCAATGATGCTACGTGTCTTAATCAAAATGTAAAGGAAGACACTGATTTGGATCACGCAAGGCATGATTCTCCTGCTGCTGATCACAGTGCTGGTAATAGTATATGCCATGATGCTGCAAATCATATCAATAATAGTGCATATGGAAGCATGGACAGTGGAAATGATGGGAATGCTACTTCAGCTATAGGATCCAAGAACAACCCAGAAGGTTTCAGTGACAATGTTTATCATAATTATGATGGATTTAGAGCGATAGATTCTCATCGCTCCAGTCAAAGAGAAGCAGCTCTAAACAAGTTTAGACTGAAACGGAAAGAGAGATGCTTCGAGAAAAAGGTATTACAACCAGCACTGACATTGTTAGTAAAAAGCTACTTCAAAAGTATTTATGGTAAATTATGTCTATGACTATAGTTAGTTTCGAAACTCCTGTACCATCTGTTGCTGACGATCTTGTTGGTAAAAACTCTTAATTTCTTGTATAGGTCCGATATCAAAGCCGGAAAAGACTGGCAGAGCAGAGGCCTCGGGTCAAAGGGCAGTTTGTACGCCAAGTACACAATGATCAGCCAGTCGCTGAGGCTGGTGGTGATTCATGAAATTTGTTTTTTATTTTATTTAGGTTACCTGTAGTATTCAATTACAGCTGACTGTAACACTGATTGCGTCACAAGGATTAGCTGTAGGGTGGTGTGGGTGTGTGTATGTGTGTTTGTGGAATCTGTTTATCTTGAAGTTAAGCAAAGGAAGAGTAGTTCAGTAGGGAGATAGCTGAAGGGCAGTGTTATTCATTCTTAAGGTGTTTCCTTCTGACATTATATTTGGACTGCCACTTACAAATATAGGATTGTAATATTTAGAGGGACTGGTTTTGGTTCTACCTGTGTATATGATTTCTTGGTTGAATACTAATATGGGTCTGCAATTACATAGTTTGTAGGTTTCGGTTTAAAAAATTCCCTCGAGAAGCTCTGGTTTTACAGTTGAAGGATCTTTCGTTGCATTCGGTTGTTGCATTGTTTTAAACTCGCATGACGCAGTTGTTCCATCTATTTCAATTCGCAATCATTACTGACATTAATTTTCTATTTCCTCGATACATAGCAATAAGAGTCAAGGTAAGAGTGCGTACCTGTAGGTCTCCATGCCACTTCGAAGGTGTTTAACTTGGGAGAGTGTATAAATTATGGCTTTAATACTGTATGGTTCCCCCTTGCATATTCATGTTCTACAGTTTTCTTTTTCATCTCTCTCAGTCTGTTTCCTCGTCTCTAATGAAGAAATTGCAACGCAGTTTATCTGAAATGCTGAATGTTAACGGACATGAAGATAGAGAAAGCACTTTCATAGTTAGTGGGTGCGTGGTGCACGATTGGCTGCGGCTGTTGATGCATTCATTTTGAAAGAGTGGTCCTTGATGAAAGCAGCACATGGACTTGCACAGCAAAAGCATCAATAATGTGCCCTTGTGGGACACGATAATGTCTAGGATGATGTGGGACTGGAAGACGCAATGATCCAAACTCCAAATAGGATTGAATTAACAAGTATTAGATTGAAGTGAAGAGACGCTAGCAGTGATAGGCACATCACGCTGAAACTTGATAATGCATTTGTGAAAGGGTTCAAAAGGGGCCACATCACCTTCGGCTATTCGCTCTGCTTCTTCATCCTTGGCCACTTCACTCTTTGAGCTAATTATGTCACTATCTCACTTTGGATATATTGCATACTTTTGTAAAAATTAAGCAGCGTTTGGTAGAATTGAAATTCAGTTGAGATTTTTTTTTTTCTTTTATGTTTGGTCTGCCTTCCATAAAATAACATTATCACTAAATCATGTTTTTAACGAATGATTTCTAACCAAGTTTTTTACAAAAATATTCTCATGAGAGGTGAAAATTTAATTTTCTGGAGTTAAAGAAGTAAAAAAATTATTACACTTAAATCATTTAAGTGGTGCAAAACTAAAAGTTTCAGTAAAAATAACATTTCTTTCAGCCTTATTACTACAAGGTTGAATTTTTAAAACAATATTACAAATGCTTCAAATTTATCCTTATTATTAATTAATTTGAAAATTATCTTATTATTTATCAAACAAATATATATATATATATATATATATATATATATATATATATATTCATGGTATTTAATATAGACAAATGTGGAAAATAAAAATTAATATTTCATAGAAACTATAAAAGAACTGGTAAAGAAGATTACTAATTTCTTTTAAACTATTTTTTATTAAGGACAGGAGGGTGTAATACTTTTTAAATTCTAGAAAATTCATAAGAATATTTATGTAGTATTTTTTTTCTTACCAACTTAATTTTAATCATATACTGGATTCACTATTCTCAGGAATCATACAATATCCTAACACGAAAAAAAATTCTATTACTAAACCTCCTAAGAGTATAATAATTACATATTTTCAATTATATGTCTACTAATAAAATAAATAGTATCAATAATTATTGTAAAATTTGTGATAGAATAACAATGGGAAATTGTTTAAAACCAATGCATAAGTTATTTTATCATAAAACAAAACATAATGGCCATTTACCATAATAATGATGTTTGGTTTGACTGTTGAGATAAAATGACAAAAAAAAGCTGATAGTGATCCTTACCCGTGAAGATGAACATCAACCCATAATAATTTTGTCAACGTAACATCGCTTAAGCGGCTTCTGAGATTGTGCTATTCTACATTATATGGGAAAACGTAGTCAAACAAAATATAACTCTTAGTACTTTTCATAATTATTTTTCTATTTATTGGATAATTCTCAAAATAACTATACTCGTCTACGCAAACATTTTTTTCGTTGTAACAACAGATAGAATTAAAATACTAATTGACGACTAACAACTAATCGAATTATTGAAAACTTAGACACTTGTTTAGGTCAAAGGAAAACTAGTGTTATGAATTTATTTTTTTCACATTATTTATGGCTAATCAAAAACAGTGAATTTTTAATATCTTTATTAAAAAAAAACAATTATTATAAAATTTTAAGTTTTTTTTTTCATGCTATTAAAAACGTTATCTGTTTCCTTGTTCGATTTTAAAATAATCAACAAGACACCTTTAAAACAATACAATCTCCACTTTCTCATTTTTTTTATGATATCACATCACTAATTAAATTACCTTTTTTTCTTTTATTTCTCGCTACTGGGTGTCTAGACTCCTTGAATGTACAAGAAATATTTTTCTGAAATTATTTTCTCGTTTGTTTTGGAAATTAATTTAAATTTTAAATTATATTTATATAGTATTCTTATTTTAAATACTTGACTAAGTTTCTCACTAATTAATTTAGATAAAAAAAAGAAAAAAAGAAAAAAATTAAATGTTTTTTAAAATTAAAATTAAAATATATGTATACATTTTTCTCAGAAAAATATTCATGTATTAAAAAATGTGGTATTTTACATAAATCCAACTCAGTATTAACTAATAAAATTTGTTGAAATAAACAAATTTAAACAAGTCATTAACAATTTGAATTTGAATAATTAGCCAATAGATTAACTCATTTACACATTACTTAAGGTGTATACATATACTTATAATTTATATAATATGTTGAACTTATTCATGCATAGTTACTATATAAACACACTATCTAACTTCAACATCAAATTGGAGACTTCCAAAATGGGAAGTGATTTTATTGTGTCCAATTCATTAAAATCGTTTGTCTTTTTCATTAGAAAATATTGTTCCTTTTAAATGTCAACATTTCATTAGTTTTTCTTTGTTGAGGTGTCTTAATTTGGGATCACAGAGAGGAATGAATTGAATATGAAAGCAACCTGACGCTGATGCTGATGCAGATGCATGTAAATACTTCTCACATTTAAGAAGTTGTTTATCAAATGTGTCATTGTTGCTCCATTCTCTTGTCATTTTCATGCATTAATACTTCAAACTTCACTTCAACATTACTCTTTTTACATCTGAGTATTCATACCTTCCTTACCTTCAAAAATGGAATAACACTCGATCGATCTGCACCATTAATTTTGGGAGGTAAAATAATATATTATTAATAAATAATAAATAAATATAAAAGAGAGAAAGAAGATAAAAGGGTGAAAGATAAAATTGTAGATATATATACTTAAATATATTAAATGATAATTAAGTTTGAGGAGTACAAAATCTTAAATTATATAAGAATTACAAAACTGAAGAGAAAGTGAGAGGATAAAATTGTAAATATATAAGTAAATATATTAAATATTCATTAAGTCCTGAGAACCAAAATCATAAATTATACGAGGAGTTATAAAACTTTGGGGAGGTCACGACTCCTCAACTCCCAAGAAAATCCGCTACTAGCAACAAATAATTTTGTTTATCAGTAGTTGTCACGTGATTATGTCATTCTTTTATTTTTGTTATTCAGTTGTTATTGTATATTTAATTTAGTCTTAACTCAATTAAAATATATTTTAAATTTAAAAATTATATATGATTATTTCAATTTAATTTTTTTATTATTGTTTTAAAAATATCCTCTGAACCATATGTTATTATGTATATATTAAAATACATTATTTACAATTTCATTCAAATATATTATTTATTAAATTTTTAGATTCTGAATATAAAATATCAAACTTTCTCATTAAAATATTTTAAAAACAAATAATTACATTTTTCGAAAAATTAATTACAACTTTTAAGTTTAAATGAAAATATATTTTAGTCAATTACTACTGTTTTACAATATGCAATAAATAACTTATTATTTAAAATAAGAAATGACATTAAATAATTTAATGACTATAAAATGTAAAACAACTGCATCAAAACCCTTGAAACTTAAGGGGATACATATTATATTATATATATATATATATATATATATATATATATATATATATATATATTTGTTTGGAAAATAACGGTTACTCTTTCTTTCTTTCTTTTTTTCCATTTATTGAGATATCTAACTTATTTTTTGCAAAGACGTAAATGATTCTCATGATTAACTTGCTGCTATTCTTCACGTTTGGTAAAAGCAAAATAAAGAAATGAAATTGGATAAAGAGAAAGCAAGGCATAAAACAGCACCAAAAAAAAAAAAAGTAAAACACATATAGCATCATGTACAGTAGTGAAGAGATCAGTGATCAGCCATTGATCTGATCTAAAAAAACTTAAAGAGAAACACGCCATTATGCTTTGATTCCAAGTTTCCCTGTTTATTCCATCTCATAGATTTCCTTTCACTTTTCTCACTTCTTCACTATATCCACAACCCCACCATTTGTAGCTGTTTCTTCACACAGAACCATAGTCATATCATACATACACAACACTTGCTCACACACAACACAACCGAAACTTCTTTAACTAGAGATCAACGAGTTATCCCATGGCAGAAATGCAGATACATCATCAAGAAGACCATAATCCTAACCCTAATCCTAACCCTACCCATTACACACAGTACCGTTTCCCTGGCAAAGTTCCCCACCAACAAGTCCATAACATGGACAAAGCTACACCTTCTCGCTTCAAACCCAATGCACCCAAACGTGAACACTGCATTTGCATCACCGTTTTCCTTCTCTTACTTGGCATCATACTCCTCATCCTGTGGCTAGCCTACCACCCTTCCAAGCCACGTTTCACGGTGGCCAGTGCCGCTGTCTACGGCCTCAACGCCACCACGCCGCCACTCATATCCATCTCCATGCAATTGAACATCATCATAAGGAACCCTAACAGGCGTGTCTCCATTTACTTTGACAGACTCTCAGCCTATGTTTCCTACCGAAACCAACCCATCACGCCGCATGTCATGCTTCCCCCACTCTACCTGGAGAAGCACAGCGCCGTGTCCCTGTCGCCGGAGATTGGAGGCGTGCCTGTGCCCGTCTCGGAAGAGGTCACGAATGGATTTGCCATGGACGAGGCTTATGGGGTGGTGGGTGTGAAACTTGTGTTCTATGGAAGGTTGAGGTGGAAAGCTGGTGACATAAACTCAGCACATTATGGATTGTATGTGAAGTGTGATGTGTTGATGGGTTTGAGGAAAGGTTTTGTGGGTCAGGTTCCTCTCCTTGGAGCTCCAGTTTGCGACGTCAATACGTGAATACTGTTCATGATTTTCACATCCTTAACGCGATTCTTCTATTCTCAAATGTTTGAAAACATGCTAGAAATCTACCATCTGATTAATAAAGTACAATGTGTGCATGCATGTATCTTAGTGATCTTATTCCTACTGCATTTTAATATTTTTGGTCCAAAACCAGCATTTAGGTATAGAAGTTGGATTTTGTGTTTGAGTGATATATGTAAAAGAAAGTAGAGTTTTGATTATTTGAAGTCTTTTGAGTTTCATTGTACAATGTTATGTCATGGATAAAAGATTTATAAACAAGAATATATCATGAATATTATGTATGTGTGCATGGCCCAGTTGTTTGGATTTTGGATTCACGAGCAATACAAATCTCTTGTACTGCTGTTGGACAACAGAAGATGGTTGGGGGCAGAGGGGAATCAAAGTTTGGACGCGTGAGAGTTCATGCAGCAAAGAACAGAAGCTAGTTGTCTTGTGATGTCTCTATCTTTCATAAAGTGCTAATTGCTTTTGTAAAGCCAGAGGAACACGATACCTGTTATTTTAGCAACTCTTGTCTTCACTTGTTCCAAACACAAAGAAACTATGATTCAACTTGTTCACTAAGAAAAGAACAAACACGGTCATTTCTTCTCGGGCTATTATTGGCCATATAACGCAACACTTTGATAAAACAAGTAAAAAAAATATATAGTTTGAACGAATGTTTACCGTTGTTGTTGCACGGTTTAAAAATTCAACCCATTTTAATAAAATAATATTTTATAATATAATAAATATATCTTAATTTTATTAATAATAATATCTTATTATATAAAAATATAATCAATATTAGTGTTATAATTAAAATAAGTAACAATAAAAATTATAAATATAAAATATAATAATTATTAAAACAAAATGAAATAAAATAAAATAGTTATTATTTAAAATTAACGTAATTAATAATATAAGAAATTTATATTAAAAAACTTTGATCTAAATATTTTTTATTAAAATTAATTAAAAAATTTAGTTAGTTTTTTTAATTTTATTAATTTTATTTTGATTTAATTAAAGTCTGATTATTTAAAAATAATACACTCATTTTTGGTTGGATTCCTGATTGAATCGGCCTGTACAGTCAGATTTTCAAAAGAAAAGTTTGAACAGATATAATGTTTTTTCAATTTATTCTGAAATATTAATAGATTAAAATACGTATTTAAGGATTACGCAAGGTATAAATTATTTTTTTCAAATATTATAATTAATATGTATATTATACAAATAAGATTTGTATTCACTATTATTTTATATATATATATATATATAATTATCAATTTATTTTAAGAATAAAAAATAATGGTTTATAATTTATTTTAATATAATAATTAAAATAATAATTCTAATTAATTATTAAATTAAAATAAAATAAACAGTAAATTTATAACTAATTTTATATATAGAATTTGCCAATATGAATTTCACTTTGTGAATTATTTCAGTTTTTTATGGGTTTAACTTTATTCATGATACAAATAAATTTAACTCAATTTTAAATGAATTCGAACTAAATTAGTGATATAATATGTAACTCATTTTTATTTTTATATTTAATTGGTTATATATACTTGTGCTAAATGTGAATTTTCAAAAAGAAAATATTTTAATAAATTACTTTACTTAGGGATTTAAATAGAAACGTAAAGGAAATAGTAATAGAAAATGACATCAAATAATATATATCTAATATATTTTAAAGTCATCAATTTTGGTTAATAATTGATTGTTCTGTGTCTTCATTTAAAGCTTGGATGTCATGGGTTTGTTGGTGATGATGATCCTGGAACACATGTGGATTTTGTCTTCATTAAAAAACACATGTATAAAGTAATAAATGTCACGTTCGAATATACTTATGTAAGCATAATTAATATTAGAATATGCTTCCTATCACAAAATGTTAAAAACAATAAAACAAATAGAGTAACAATCAATGTTCTGCAGAGAAAGACTTATTATTAATTCACATATTATTGAAGGTCCAAACATATTCTCTTTGTATTTCTTTTTATAATTTATTCAATGTTAAAATGTTTTTTTTGTCAATTTATTTATTTATTGCTAATATAAGATAATTAACATCAATTATTATTTTTAAAATTATTTTATTTTCACCCAATTCATAAATAAAAAGAAACATCATATTAACAATAAAATAAAATAATTTGATTAAAGAGCATATCAAATGAGAAAAGTGTTAATAATAATGATTCAGTAAACCTGAATTATAAGATATGCATCAATGATTAAGACTAGATGACAATAATTAGATCATTTTATTGGTTAAAATGATATGGAAAAAAAATTGGATTGAAAATTATTGATGAATTTTTTTAATTAAATATGGTTAGAGCCAGATTTCTTAAAAATATTTAAATATAAAATCTTTTATAAATTTATATTAAAATCTTTCTGATTGCTGTCATCATGAAAGGTGGTGAGAAATATTTTATTAAAAACTATAATAATATAATACATACTTTGCCAAGACAACTATTATTAATAGAATTTTCTATTTCATTATTAGCATGTTAATGATTTGATAAGGAAATTTCAAACCAAGACACAATCAAATACTTAATAATTAACGTAGTTCATTATTTATGTTAAATTCTCCAGATATTTTCAGACAGTATCTGTAGTAACAGTAGTCCAGTAGAAGAAATGACATAAATTTTTTACCTAACATATCCCAACATAAGTCCGTGACAGAAAAATAAGATGAAAAATTGACAGAAATATATATATATATATATATATATATATATATATAATTTGTTTATTGAATATTAATCTAGAATAATTAAAAAGAAATCCCTTTAACAGAAATGATCATTTACAATAAAAAAATTTACTTACATATAATTATTTTGCTGTATACATTATTGTTAGTTATCCCTATATTAGCGAATTTTGTTAGAAGCAATCTGATTATTTGATTTTTATTACTAATTATTAGTGAAAAAATAGGTATTTTATGCACTTTTATTTGTACTTTTTTATAATTTTTTAATATAACAGTTTTTTATAATAAGAAATGATAAAAATTTATAATTGAGGTATTTTAAAAATGATAATTATTTATTTATTCATTTATTTTAAAAAATTTAAGTCAATATATAGTTAAAAATCATATATAAATAAACGTGAAGAGCGAATTTTAAAAGGAAATATAACAGAAAATCTCTGCATATATTATTATAAATTTAATTTATTTGTATTATATTAAAGATAAAAATTTTAATGTAAAATTGATAAGAAAGGTCATAATTTTTTTATATATAATGATAATTAGACGAGTTTTTAAATGATACTTTTTCAATAATGTTTTGAATTCAAAATTTATAAGAAAATAATTAAAAAGAGAAAATTATTTAACAAACTAATTTGTTAAAAATTCATTATAAAAACATATTTTATTTATATAATAGTATAATAAATTACATATATTTTTAATCAATGTTTTGAGTTCAAAAATTTATAAATGAAGGGAAGAGATGTAGTTAACAAACTAAAGGAAAAAACCTAATTTTATAAGTAAAGTAGGAATAATATATATCTACATTTAAAAGAGAAACGATTTTATGAATAAAATATTATCCTAAAATTCACAGCATCTTAGGTGTGACTTATTTGTAATAATTTATGTAGAACACTATAACATTAGATAAGTATTTTATGAAAAATTTTAGTTTTAAAATTTTTATAATTCTTGTTTTTTTTATTGGTTAAAATATTGTTTTCCAAATTTTAAATTTATAATAGTTATATTAAAATAAAATAGTTTAAATAAAATTTTAAAAGGTGTCACAACAATCTCGTTATAAATTTAAAATTATGTTTTTAGAGTCAAACATGGTTGACTAAAATTAATGTTTGTCTCCCTCCGTACCAGAGGTCATAGTCAAAACCAATAACATGTATTTTTTTTATTTATTAAAATTTTTTATTTTGAAACTGTAGTATATTATTACAATATTTTTGGATATCATATAATTTTTATTTATCAAAATTTTAAAATATCCATATAATTCTTTAAGTAATTCAACTATAAGAAGAATAAATTATTATAATCAAAAGCAAAAAATACATTCTACTAAATATATGGTAAATACTCATTTTATTTAATATAAAAATGAATTAAAAAGTAAAATTAACATTTTTTTTAAGTTTGAAAAGAAAATATATTAAGATAAAATATATTTATATCCTTTAGAATATCTAGGTAAATCAATAAGAATAGTTATATATTTATTTTTTTCTTGTTTTTTTTTATCAAATTAAAGGTGACTTATTCTTATAATGATACATACATTATCTTTTTATTTTGTTCTTTTTATGTGTCTACTAAGATTTACTCCAGTGAAAAATAAAAACCTTCATATTAGTTTATTATTGCATGTTTTTTACAAAAATAAGATAAATAAAAGACATGAGTAATTTGATGAAGCAAGACATGCTTTAAAAAAATTAAAATTAAAAATATGGATTCTGAAGTTTCAACAACTTAAAATAGGAATGAATAATAAATTAGATTATGAAAGGAATGGTAAAAAAAGTCAGAAGAAACACATGAGAAAATAAAAAATCCAAAAGGTATGATAAAGAGATTACTTTAATTATATATTACAAAATAAATTTTATATTAATCTCATTAGTTAAAAAGACCTTACTTCTTTAATAAACTTATATCCATTTCCACTTAATAATAAAAATATTAATAATTGTTTTTAATATTTCTAATAAAAATCTATTCCGATTATTTTTTTTTAATTGTCATAACTAAATTATAACTCATGTAAAAAGTTACAAATTATTGAAAGGGTAAAAAAAGAAAAAACAAGAAGATATATTGATATTAAACATTTTATTTCTTTTATTATTATTCATTCGCAAATTATTAGTTAGGAGAGTTTTAGGAACTTTAGGAGAAAATTAATAGAAAGAAAATTTTTACTATTTTAGAATCTAAAATTGATATTTTTGTTATTGAATTTTTAATTTTTTTACGTAAAATGTAATATATTTTAGAAAATATTTGTTAACCATAAAACCACCCATACAGATTTTTAAAAGTATTAAAGACTAACTAAATATGTTTTTATTTTTTAAATCATTTTTATTACTAAACATCCTTTTAAAATCATGTTAAAATTAATTAATAATGTTAAACTTTTTAACTATGTATATATAAATAACGATGCAATTGTTTATTAATAAGTTATGTACTAAATCATTATTTTTTAGAATGATAATTATATTAAAAATAATTTTTTTAGATGTTTATTTCTAAAAATCTTGGGCAACAGATTTTGTTGAACTAACCTATATACTAAATAAAGACTGGGAATGGAAGAAGGATTCAGAATCAGAATCAAGAAGGAAGAGGGAGAGAAATCCAGAACGGAAACTCCCATTTTTGTAAGGGTGGGTCCATGCCATTATTTATTCTAATCCTCCTTTTCTCTTCCTCTACCTTTTCCATCTCTGTTTCCTTATCACCTTTCTCATACCCTTTTTTATTCTTCATTTTCCAAAATTTTCAGAGAATCGCGTTTGGATTTTCACTAGGGTAGAACCCTAAACCCAGAGCCAAGTGAGTCGTCACTCTTTTCCCAGCAAGATAATGAACACCTGTTTCCTGTTTCCTAGATTTTTTTTTTTTGGTTTTAAAAAAATAATTATGTTGTTTTGGTTTTGTTTGAATGGTTATGATTTGAGGCTGTATTGCGTGCGTGCGTGGTGATTACTGAATCGGAGTTTTGGGTGGCTCTCAGTGAGGATTCTTTTGGAATTCAATATCAATGTTGTCTGGGTGAACCCTCGTTGTTTTGGTGTTGCAATTTTTTGTTTGTCAGATTCCTTGAAGATTCTATTCTGTGTCAGAACTTGATGTGAGTACAGTTGAAGATTCTATTCAGTCACCTAATCAATTGAATGCTTCGTGTTTTCTTGCATCGTTTATCTATGTTCATATGAGAGTGGTTCCATGCAGATTTAGTTATATTTATTGGCAGCGGAGTTTACTGTTGTTGGTTGACTAATGCCACGCACTACTTAATAGTCCTGCACCTTGCTGACTTAATTACTTTGCAATAATTTTTCGTGCTTCAAGGATTTTAAGGGCTGTCAGGGTTTTATTTCCCTACTATTAATATTCTTTAAATTGTGCAAGGAGTCTTGGTCTTCTGCTGTGCTTGGTGTACGTTTATGTTATTTTTTAATTTGAATTTTCATGTATGTTTGTGATTAATTGACTTTATGTTGGTGATACTTAATGAGTTTGTTGCATATATTTGTGACTAATTCATGTTTATGATGAATGCGTATGTGTTTTTCTGCACTTGTGAAACTATTTGTCCAATCCCTACTTGAGTGTGAATGCGAACCTTTGTTATAGCTTGTGGAGTTGATAAAATATCACTGAATGTCTGCCTAAGTAAAACTCGTCTTGCTTGAATTTTTTGTTTTTCCTGAGTTTGTTCATTTTGGCGATCAGTCATAAAATTTTGCTCATTACTTGCAAGTTACAAGTTGTTTGCATTTAATTAGTTGTTTCGCAATGGAATTCTTCAGTCCTGGGTTTTAAATTTGTTTAACCATGTTAGTTCGTTTAAATGAGGCAGTCGTAGTGAGATTATCATGTTTCAATCATAGAATTACAAAGAGATTATGTATGTAAAATATATATTAGTTGGGTAAATTTATTAGTCAATCGTTTTAGCCTAAATATTATTATGCATCAACAGCCCAATGGCATAGTTATGCATCAATGCCCTTATATTTGTAATCATTGGATTACAATTTACATCATACAGCTGTTAATTTTATAAGTATTTGAGCTGGGATTGCAATTGCAATAAGGCTTTCTGGTCGGATTCTTACTAGTCACAGTATGTTCTAACCTATTCGTAATGTATCTTTCTTCAATAGGAATTCCATTTTGTGCCTTACAGTTTCACAGTCATACGCATTTGCTCACCTCAAGTTGAAAAGGATTTCCTTTGTTCTAAAGCATATTTGCCTGAGAAAATTGGAATTTATCAACCTTTTCTACACTGGTCATCTGAATCATGGTTTTGCTGACTCTGTTGTTTGCCTTGAAGCATCCCTTATTTGCCTCCTCTCAACTGGTTTTAGGCAGATTGAGAATCTGACCCTTGCAAAATATACACAGCAACCTAAGCACTTCCTCTGTTTCACAAGGACTGCAGTTTTAGCTATGTAAAAAAGTTTCTAATTGACTCTTTCTTTGGTCTCACATATCAATGAATTATTAATTTTTTCGTCCGAATTTATCCTCATATTAAGTACACTGTTTCTTATTCGACCAATGCATTTATCAGAAAAGTAAGGCTATGCCAGTAAAATTGTTTTAAAAGTGCTATACTTGTTATTTTTCTTAATTGTGGGATAAAACCTTAAACAACAGTCGTTTTGGATCGAAGGTAGCATTTCATGGTGAACTTCCTGACCTGTAGCTCATAGACCTATCTATCTTCTGTGCCTCCATTCTCCATTTCTCAAACATCTTCTAGTCACGATTCCATTCTTGTGTTCACCATCCAAAGGCCTCTTTTGAAGCATGAGATTTTAGTCTGAGGTTTATAAGGTCTTGATCATCTACAACAACAGCGTCTAACTTTTTGTTGTGTACTTTTCTCAAGTTTCTTATCAATTTACATTGAACTTTGATTTGATGTTTAGGATTTATTTCCTATAGTTGGGCATAGAGATTTGAATGCAAAAATAATATATATTTGTTTTTTCTTTTCATAGTCCAAAGTAAAATATTCATATCTGTAGGCTTCAATGTTATCTTCAGTATCTTATTGTTGTTTTTATCTACTTGCCAACAATGTTTTCCTTGCTACATAGTGATTTGAAATATGAATTGTTTTGAAAATTTCTACATCCTCATTATTCCCAACAATTCTTCTAATTAAGATATTAAATATTTTTATGTTTCCAAAATTGTTTTTTTTTTTCATTTAGTAGTTTATCTATAAAGTATTTAGGAGGTTTGGAGAAGAAGGATATAAGCATTGCTCAATTCTTCAAGCACCATTGCCTGAGGTCTTCTTATTTTGTTATTGTTTTTTATTAACATCTATGTTAGTATAGTTGTGCTACAACTTTACTCTATTGACTCAGCACGTACAATATTGTATCTAACCCTTTTAACTGAAAAGATTTACATTTTATTCTCATATAAAATAGTTTTATTTGACTTTATTTTTTAGTCAGACTACTCAAATTGTTGCCTATAGATTAAAATCTAAACACAGACAAAGAGACACATAGATCATGTGGGCTATCACATATTAAAGAATAGCATTGAGAGCTGTGATTAATTTATAACACCATTACAACAAATATAGATCATTGATGTACAATTGGATAATGGTTGATACAGATGCTCAGAATGGTATCGACAAACTTTACTTATTGGCCAGTCATCTTTTTAAGAACTTATTTTACTTCTGAAGTAGAGTCCTGTGGGGTCAAATTGCCCTAGATGAACTTTAAAAAGTTATTGGTATCTGTTATAATGTTTTCTTGTTTCTGTTTAGTGTTTGGAAGAGTATGGTTTTTCTCCAACTCAAGAAATTTACGTTTTTGTATTGTAGATGGAAGCACAAAGCTCTCAGCAAACGCAGGTTATTGAGATCAGTGGAGATTTTTCTGATGGCGGAAGAAAGATTTGTGGGGAAGCACCATGTGGGTTTGCAGATGCTGGATCCATCTCCAAGGATTCTGCAGAAAGATCAACTTCTATGCGAAAGCTCCTTATGGCAGTGGTCCTGTGTGTTATTTTTATGACTGTTGAAGTGGTTGGTGGCATCAAAGCTAACAGTCTTGCTATACTGACTGATGCAGCACATTTGCTTTCTGATGTTGCAGCCTTTGCCATCTCCTTATTTTCTTTATGGGCTGCTGGATGGGAAGCTACACCTCGCCAATCATATGGATTTTTCCGAATAGAGATTCTTGGTGCCTTGGTTTCTATCCAATTAATATGGTTGCTTGCTGGTATTCTGGTATATGAAGCCATTGATAGAATCGTTGCTGGTCCTAAAAGCGTGAATGGTTTCTTAATGTTTTTAGTTTCGGCATTTGGTCTCGTAGTTAATATCATCATGGCTCTGTTATTGGGTCATGATCACAGTCATGGACATGATGGTCATGGTCACGGGCATGGACATGATGGTCATGGTCATGGGCACAGTCATGGATTTACAGTGTCTACCCATCATGATGCAAAACATACAAAAGATGAGCACCATCACACACATGATGATCACACAGACCATCATGATGAAAAACATTCAAAATATCCTATCCATCATACTCATGAAGATCACTTGCACCATCATGATCACAATGAGGTTACTGAATCTCTTCTTGAAAAATCGAAAGGTGGAACTAAGAGGAAGAAGCAGTGGAACATAAATGTACAGGGGGCTTATCTCCATGTTCTTGGGGACTCTATTCAGAGTATTGGAGTAATGATTGGGGGAGCAGTCATATGGTATAAACCTGAGTGGCAAATAGTTGATTTAATTTGCACTCTAATATTTTCAGTAATTGTTTTGGGGACAACCATCAATATGCTGCGAAACATCTTGGAAGTCCTGATGGAGAGCACACCTCGTGAGATAGATGCTACTAAGCTTGAAAGGGGGCTGTTGGATATGGAAGATGTAGTGGCTGTTCATGAATTGCATATATGGGCCATTACGGTGGGAAAGGTTTTACTAGCTTGCCATGTTAAAATCAGACGTGAAGCAGATGCAGACATGGTGCTGGACAAGGTTATAGACTATATCAAAAGGGTCTATAACATCAGTCATGTAACCATACAGATAGAGCGCTAGATTTAATCTTTTATTGAATATTTCGTGATAGTGGAAGATTAGAGGGGAAGGATATAGTAGGACTTGAGGGATTATGCTTCTGGAACTCAAATTTCTCTATGATAATAATACTTTCTTGTATTCTTCATTCTAGCTCTTCTAAGGGCATTAAACATTTTTACGTCAAAATTTCATATATTTGTGATATTATTGTCAAATATGTCATTGTTACATAGTTTTTTTTTTCCTTCATAATTATGTGAATCTTATAAAGTTGTTTGAAACTTCATTTGCCTTGGTGACGTAAATGCATTGTTGGTGTTAATACAAAAGGGTCCAGTGCCAACCAGATGAGCAACTATGATTGTGTTTTGAAGTGTACTACCGACAATTGTCGAGCTTCACAAACTCGAGATTTGTAAGGTTCTCAGCTGTCTGTTTTACTCGCAGATTGATTTAGTTGGTACTATAACTATTGGTGAGCGAAACACTTTTTTAACATGACTTTGCCTTGCTATCCGATTGTACACGTTACCAAACAAAAAAATGCAGAAGAAACATTTGCGTGAAATCATAGGTTCTATTCCCTCAAAACACGCACACACATTATGTTGATGAATCACCAATTTTGATGGGGTGTCCTTGGTGAACGAGGACAAGATTCTGTAGTCAATGTCTGACCGGGTAAGAGTTAAAATAAGTTAAATGTTGCAAATGGCAGTGGTAGAGGAGTTGTAGGTTTTGCAGGTTGCAGAGTGGAAGCATACGTATGATTGTTGTTGAAAGGGTGTAATTACCATACAAGATATTATACCCTACCCTCGATAAGATGCCAAGAGTAAGATAACTACAAATTGAAGTGCCTTTTTCTTTCCCAAAAGTACGATTAATTGCAAGAGTAGTCACATGTGCTGGATATTGAGTCCTTAACTAGCAGTACAGACAAAGGAAAACATCCCAAACTGTTCCCGCCCCGAGAGCCAAGGCATCCACAGTGCACCTCAAATCATTTTTAATGAAATTCATTTTATTATCATATTTTAATTCTTAGTATAACATATATTTGTTTTTTACATAATAATTAATTAAATTATTCTTGATGATATTTGAATACATTTCTTATTATATTTAATCCTTGTGATATTGACATCATTGTTATTTATAATTTATTTGTTTCTCAATCATCAAATCTACTCTTTTATATTATAAATAAGAATATATAATTTGGAGAATGAAACTCTTTTTCAATATTTTATTTCTTCTCTTTGAAGGTTCATTTTCTACATTACTCCCACAACCAACCCAAAAAGAATCCTCTCAACCATTTCAAAGAACTCTCATTTGTATTTATCTATATTCTTTCAAAGCACTCTCGTTTGTATTTTAAATTATTCATCGTAAATCCAAAATAGAATTTATATATTTCAAAAATATATTTATTTATTGTAATTTTTAATTGTAATATAATTTATATATTTAACATAGTTAGTAATTGTTTTAAGAAAATGTGTTTACATTAAGATTACCTTTTTCATATTCAAATTTCCTTTTATATTAAGATTTAAAATTTTAAAATCTCAACTTCTACTACTTTTATATTTTTATTTTTATTTTATTTCTGTAAAATCTTAATTATTTATACTCTAGAACCATTTCTTCTTATTTTTATTTGCATGTACTTCCCCCTTAAATCTAAGCAACTATATTTATACTCAAACTTAAAAATCTCCAATATATGAGATACTTTTGAAGTTTATAAAATAGGAAAATATTATAACATTTTTATTTTATGTAATAATGCTTTACTTGTAATAAATATTTTATTTTTTATTAACGGTGCCCAACATTTACGTTTTTATTTATTTATTTTAAAATAACAAACAAAACGACCAAATTAAGAATAATGGTAAGACTTAGAAATGAAAAGAAATGATAATTAAAAATTTAATAAATAAAAAATTTAATATTTATAAAATTACTATTTCTGTAAACTTCTATTTTTTTAATTTTTTTTCTAAGATTCTTTACTTAATTTTTTTTTTAAATTCAAACACAACATAGCAGTCTTATCGGAAATGAGAAAATTTTCATCCGATCAAAAGTTGTTATATAATAAGTTGTGTAAATTCTGAGACAAAATAGGGTTCTTTTGTTATAGTCAGATTATTAATCAAGGTCGTTTTCAACATATTTGAAGATCTTATGACAATTAAAAATTTTGGAAATTTTTATCACTTACAAAACTAAATGATATTTTAAATTTTATATTTATTCGATTAATTAAAAGAATGTAATAAAATATTTATGCATGTAATTTAAAAAAAAAATTAAAATATGCTAATCTTTCCCCTTAAAAAGAATGAGATTTTGGAAAATGAAGTTGTGTTCAGTGAAAACAAATACGAAAATGTTGTATCCAATTCATTTTCGACCAGTGAACTACAAAGAAAAGAACAGATAAACCCTACAAATTACCACAAGAGTAATAAATGCAGAAAAAACTGAAAATCGCCTTACAAGACAGATCATACATCATTGTAGAACAGTACCAGCGCGTGAGTAAGAAGTATGCACATATGATGTACATTGGATTTCCATGCACATGCTTTGTCTTTTTATTTGGCCCTTAATGTAAATTGAGACTCTAACCATGTTGGAGATTTTGTGGAAGACCTTCATATATATCCTTATCACAGTCACAAAACCAGATAATGTGTGTAGAATTTGAGGCCAACTATTGATGTGTCATGTTCCACATTTCATATATTCATACTTGATTTAATACCAGGTTGTCCATCTTACTGTGCTTGCAAAACCAGCTTCCGTCCACACTTTCTCTATCTTATCAACAATCTAAGCTTTCACTTCAACAAAACTTAACCCAGTTGTGATTACAAGTGCAGGATTTGCATCATCATATATAAATGATAAGGTAGTCCTACATGTTTCCCAATACCAATTATTTTGGTTAGTGTAGATAAAACAAAATCAACCAAACTATTATGTTTGATTATTTTAAGCTTCATTTCAAGTAATTCTTTGTTTTTTTCTTATATTTTCTATCATATAATATAACTAGGATCCATTCCATGTTCATATTGAATCCTAACTCATTTACTAAATTCTGCATCTTATCTAAACCCTTCTACATTTAGCTCCATCTTTACAAGTTTGCTTGAAAATGCGTGTTAGTTATATATGCATTGATTAATGGATGGGGTAATATTAGACAAAAGCACACTAATTTAAAGTTTAAACTTATAACTCTAAACTATTGGTTGATGTACTGTTTATTTTTATTTTTTTTGGTAAAATAAATAAACAACCTTTTTTTGTTTAATTAGGTGTTTGAAATTTCATGGTAACAAAAATAAAATATATTCCTGAAATTGGGGTTCTATTAAAACAAAACCATGTTCAGACATACTGAATGCTAATCTACAAGGCATGGCCCCAGTCCAAAAACCAATAATTTATTTGGACCAAAATGCACAGATGTGGACCATACATCTAAATGACAGTCAACTTCCAATTGCTGTTGATATTAGAATTTTTTTGGATGAATAAATAATTCAGAAATATCTGTAAACCTGACAATTTTCTGAAATATAAATTTTTAATTTCTCATTATTGGTTTGACTCTTTTTTTTTTTTCAAATTATTTTTTAAATATGTTTAAATGAATTTTTTTATGAATGAATAACTATTTATAAATATTTAAATTCTAAGACAAAACTATATGCCAAAAAACTCTTAGAAAATTAAAAAAATATGTTTACAACAATAAATTAGTATAAACATGTAGTAATATTCATAACATATCTTTTTAATTATCTCTATATATATTTAAGAGATAAATGAAATTGAAGGAGAGAATGAAATCAAAAGAACCATACTTTATAGCTAGTTGCCACTACTATGTTTTAGTGTAACAATTTGTGTTCATGTTAAAATAAAAATATATATATGTAAAAATAAATATAGATGTTCATATTTTTATCTTCCCCTGTAAATGAATAATATATAAAAATAATAATTAAATATCTTTCCCTGTATATTTAATTTGTGTAGGTTAAAAAAGTAGAAATATCACATGTAATGGTTAAATCATAATGTTAAATAACATAGTTAATATGATAAAGTTAAAGAAAATATGCCAAATATTTTTCTATGTATATTAATTAGTGTAGGTTAAATAGAAAAATAAACATCACCACATATAATGTTTAAATCTTAATGCCAAATAACACAATTAATATGTAATATTGTTAAATATTATATGAAAAATAACCACAATTAATTTTCTTTTACAATATTGACACACTAAAGTTAAAGCTTACTACTCCATGCATATTATTACACATATTTATATATATATATATATATATATATATATATATATATATATATATATATATATATATATATATATATATATATATATATATATATATATATATATATATATATATATATATATATATAGAGTAAGAAATAAACAATATTCTATTTAAATTTCACTATTTTTCTATTCAATTTAATATTTATATATTAAAAAAAAAGATTGAGTGACAAAAAATATACCAGTTATTATTTTAATATTTTTCTATTCCATTATTTATATATTAAAAAATAAAAAATATATAACTACAATATAGGGATAAAATGCAATACTTTTTTAAATTGAGTGACAAACATGTAAATTACAGTTCTTAAAATATACCAAAATAAGATTGATTGTTAAGATGTGCAAAGTTTTTCAACCACATGTATAGTTTATTTGTCTTGCCATATATTTTTGTATGTCACATTAATTAATCTACATAAGTGATAAATTAATTATATCTTTTAAATTATTTTCTTTTTAAGAGAGTTTTATCTTGATTTAAAAAAAGAGAGTAAGATAAATACAAATTAAACTAAAGGACATTGGTTAAAATAATTCAAAAACTTTTTTTTTTCAAAATTCATGTGACAACTTTAATAACAAGAAATGTTATTATTTACATTGTGAATGCAATAATAAAAAACATTAATTCAATTCATAATATTTTTACTTTTTTTTTAAATAACATAGTTTGAATTTAACCAGAATGTTATCATGAATATAATGTGCACAAAGGATGAACATTGGATTTAGAATATATGTTTAGTTGTTGTGGAAACAATGAACAAGAAAGAGACTTTACCTTAGTACCTGCTCCACGTAGCTCTTCATGTGTACTATAAATTCAATACTTCAATATAGATAAACTTCAACTCTCTAAATTGTTACATGAGCTTCTCGTTTATCTTTTGAACTCAATTTACTTAAACATAAAAGAAATAATAAGTTTTAAATTTTTATGATTGTGTCTGAGATTCTTTTTAATCCTTCTCCATAGGCAACACTATTTGAAAATGTTTCAGGTTCTCTTGGAACAAATTGAGTTGTTATAATATTGAGATGTCTCCATAGTTCATACTCTCTCACTTTTTTTTTTGTTAATAGGAGTATGTTTCAGTTGTTTCAATATAGATTCAAATTAGAGTGATTGAGAAAATAATAAGAGTATGATGTATGCTATGTGTTTTTGTTCTTATGTGTAACTGATATTAGCCTGAATAGGAAATTGGACATGATCCATCGTCATCATCATGCAGACCACACAATCCATAGAAGGCCTTTCCAGAGCTGCTTCTTTTTCAAATTTTTTATTATTAAAATCCTTCCTGGTTTTGCCGTACTTTCTCTCTCATGTCATGAGAGAGATAGACATAGAAAGATGGAGAGAGTCCCACAACTGCCTGTCCCCGCTGCTGGACAAAACTGCCACCGCCAATAATGCTTGGGACCTTGTAAACCAGACAAGTAACTCCCTCAAACACACTCTCTTTCTCTCTCTTTCTCTCTCTCTCACACACACACTTACCAACTCTTCATACCACTGTTCGAAATGCATCTCATAGCAAAGCATATCTCTTGTAACCCCAGTTGAGAAGTTTCCACCTTTCATTTCTTACCATATCCCTCTCTAACTCTCTCTTTGGATATCATCTTCTACTTCTACTACTGTTGTGTGACCTGAGACTTGTTCCAAGCACAACATTTAATAATATTTATTATTATTATTATTCTCTCTATATATAAGAGGCTACCAAAGCCATGAGAAACACAAAGAATATATCGCGGGGGTGTTAGTTACTGATATGGGGTCTCGTTCTGCTTCTCCATAGGGATTACATTTATTACCATTCTTTTGTTAGCATCACTACCATACGGAATGTTGGTCACCCTCATAGAGGCCTAAGGTAGCAGCATTTAAGACCATATACTTTGATCACTGCTCAGCTTTGATGGAGAGGCTCCAAGGACCCCTCAATTCCTGTGTATGTGTTACTTACTCTACTACTACTATTATACTACTAATTAATACTACTACTTTCTACTTTCTTTCCTTACTTTCCCATCCATTCCTTTTCTTCCTTCTTCCTTTTCCTTTTCCTTCAACCCCATTTCTAGATACAAGAAAAGTACTGCATTTACTCCTCAAAACGCTTGCATTAAATGCACCATTGTGTTACTATTTTCCTGAAAATACATGTATCTGCTCCCTTGTTGACATTCCTCTTTAGTTCCTCTTTTATTGCGCACTTTCCTGTATAGACTTACCCTCTTCTCCATTCTGACCCAACCCCAACCCCATTAATGGAACCATATATTCCTTCCTTCTTTTGAATTCAGTTGGGTGTGAAAGTGAAATCCAACTAATACCTTATTCTCTTGCTATTATTTCTCACTCCATGTGCTAAATTCTTTCTCTTGCAGTTCTTTGGAGACCCCTTGGGAGTGAATTGTTTGGACCAAGTTCTGGTTGATGAAGAAAGCCTGAGACTGGAGGAGGAGGAGCAGCTTCTGATATCAAGTTTAGAGGACAAGATGCCATTCCTTCAAATGCTTCAGAGTGTGGAATCACCACAGTTTTTCCCTTTGAAAGAGCCAAACTTTCAAACACTTCTGAGGCTGCAGCACATGAAGAAACCATGGGAGGAAATGACCTATATTCCAAGAATGGAAGCACAAGTCCAAGCAGCATTGGAGCTAGAGAGTTGTGTGACACACGACATGTTGGAGATGCAGTCACCAGTGAAGTCAGAAAGCAATGACCTCCAACACCCACTTTCAATTTCGTGTTTTGAGAAAGTGAGCTATGAGTGCAACCAGGAACCACACAAAGCATCACAATCATGCCCTAAATCTCAGCCAGCAGCCACAAGGGAAAGGAGAAAGAGAAAGAGAACAAGGCCAAGCAAGAACAAGGAAGATGTGGAGAACCAACGTATGACCCACATTGCTGTTGAACGCAACCGGCGACGGCAAATGAATGACCATCTCAGTGTTCTAAGGTCCCTCATGCCTCCTTCCTATATTCAAAGGGTATGCATTGTGTGCAATCAATTTTTTGATATATGGAGTCCAATTATCAACCCACTTTGTCAAAATAATTTTTTTAAGTGTTCTTGTGTTGTTTCCTCAGGAGAATTGAAGTCTTTTCTTTTATATCTATAATTTACGTAATACAAATTTATATTGAAATCCACAATCATATCCCTGAGTAAAACTTTAATTCAGATTGGGAAACAATAACCATACTTCAGAAAGTTTTTTCCCTTTCAAAGTCCCTACATTCGCTTTATCCGTGCTAAAAATCCAACCTTTTTCAGCGTGGATGCTGAAAAATTTTGTTTTTGTTTTTTACCCTTTTCATTGATACTGATGTATGGAGCTTTATTCATGGGGTAGGGTGACCAAGCCTCAATAATTGGGGGTGCAATAGATTTTGTGAAGGAGTTGGAGCAGTTGCTTCAGTCCCTTGAGGCACAAAAAAGGATGAGAAAGAATGAAGAGGATGGTGGTTCTTCTTCCACTATGTTGTGTAAGCCCCCACCACCATCATCATCTTCATCACCACATGGCTACGGAATGAGGTCATCAACCAGTGAGGAAATGAACTGTGGGGATGAAGTAAAGGCAGAAAACAAGTCAGAGGAAGCAGACATAAAAGTGACCTTGATTCAAACCCATGTGAACTTGAAAATTGAGTGCCAAAGGAGGCCAGGGCAATTGATAAAGGTCATCGTTGCTTTGGAGGACCTTAGGCTAACCATTCTGCACCTCAACATCACGTCCTCAGAGACGTCTGTCCTTTACTCCCTCAATCTCAAGGTATTACTATGTCTTTTCATCCATTGTTTTTATTTTTAAATATGGTCAACTCTACAAAGTGGAATCAAGTCAGTGTACTATTCTTTTCTGACTTGCAATCTAAGCAAAACCTGCCTTCCCTATTTCCAACATTGTCTATAATTATAATTATAATTAGAGGGGAATTTCTTTTTGGACCTTTGGTAAATCACTATTCATTTAACATTAGTATATTCTTTGTGCTGTACTACACTTGAACTTTTTCTATTTTAGTTTTTGGTGATATATAATGGACTTTGGCGTGGTGTGGTAATAATGCAGATTGAAGAAGGCTGTAAGCTATGTTCAGCAAGTGACATTGCAGAAGCAGTTCATCATATATTCAACTTCATTAATGGCAGCTAAAGGCCACTAGCTCTACTCTACAACGTTAGGGAGTGGTAGCAGAGGAATAAAGGACGAATCATTGCAAGGAAGATGGGGAAACGGGGAACATAGGGCATCCATTTCTTGTCAACATATCAATATGAGATGTATAATGTTAGTTGGCAGCAGAGAGATAATAGATGATGGTACTGAAGGGAGGATAAGGCATGTGATATATTATTGTTTGCTGCTCAAATGGTTTCTCTTGTGTTGATTTAATTAAAATGCTAGCTTTGTTGTATAATGTTGTGGTGAATTGCTTGTAAACTTGTTTCTTTGGTGCATTGAGAATTTGGAATTGATGGATTGTGGCGGGGATAGAGGGTAGGGTCCATGAGAAGGAAGGACCCACTTTGAAAATTTTGGAGTTCTCATCATTACGAATTACTAGGAGGGAATGATGCTACTCTTTTTATATTGACTTTGCGTGATAGCCGTATACTATAGAAGATGTTTCATAATATATATCCTCACTTTCTGATGGGTTCTTTTCGGCCTCCTCCAGTTCATGCCAGCATCATCCATTTTGCCATTATCAAACCAAATAAATAATAACCATATTGCAACCAAAGAGAGATAAAAGGAGAACAATGTATAATTGTCTAGTTAAAGAAAACAAAAAATGGTCGTCAACCTCTTTGTATTGTATTTTTTTTTGCATATAGAAATAATGCAGATAAAAGTAAAAAGAAAAATGTAAAACTGTTCTGATAGGAGTTATAATGTGAAGACCATCACCACATTCTCCTTGAAAAGACAGAATGTACATTTGGAGTTATATTGAATCAATATGGTATTTATGTTTACCTATGATTAAGACATTGATGATAATGACTTCTCTCTAATCAGTAAATAAAGGTTATATATATAATGATATTCTCACAATTTATAATATCCAAATTCAAACTTATTGTCGTGTTCACAAACACCCCCTCCCTCCACTTCACAAAACCCTTGTATTAATGATGGTTGACATCATAAAAAAGTAGCACAATCCATTTAACAGAATCATAACAATGCAATGGTTTGAGACAAGAAAAGCATGATAGTTATTTATATATATACATAAATATTATTTTTTGCGATGCAAACAAAGAAAGCATTACTGTTTTGATGGTTTCACAACAATGGCATGACGTGTTGGTATTATGTTGTGGTGTTGGAAGTGAGATTAGTGAGGTTGAGAATGAAGTAACGATATGGAGCCATATAGGGTGAGACAGAGGATGGCACCAAGCTTTGTTGAGAACAGTGTCAGGTTTGAAAATGGACTTTTTTGCTGGGAAATGGTTTGCGCATTTTCGGTGATTAGCATCATTGGAACCAAGGCTAAGGAGAAAAAAGGGAAGAAAAATAAAGGAGAGTGACGTGGTGGAAAATTAGCTATGGTGAAAGGTGTTTGACAAGAAGGTGTGTGAAGGGTAGGGATGAAGTCAACATAATGATGAAGGGGCAGTCCCTATCCCACAGCATCCTGTCCTTCCACACTCATCAAATTATCATTATAATATAATATAGTTGTCTCTCCCAAAAGAAATTACACTGGGTAAATTTTGAAAGTGTATACTCAAATGCTAGTAATGAGCAAAAGGGTGTTATGTTGTTCAAACTGATGAAATTTGTGTTATTTTTATGAGCTAAATCCACGTTGGTTTGTCTCAAAGATAAAATTACAGAATAATATATTTGTCTCTCCCAAAATTGAAATTGAATACTGCATTTGTCTTTTAGAGAGAGGGAATAGTATATATAGATTAGAGTGGAACAAAAGTAGCAGCCATCCCCATGTGCAAGTCTGTCAGAAGGACAAAACCACCCTCTCCTTTTCAGGCCCAACCTCAGCCTTAGTCCTATTCATTTTTGGTCCTCGAGTTGCTATGCTAGTGGTGTACCTCTTTTCCCATTGTTCATGCCTTCTTCCTTACCTTTTCTCTTCTCTTTTTCCTTTTCTTTGTGTCTCCAAGGGCTATAACCTCTCTCCCAATTAATTTACGACCCCATCATCCCTTCCAAGGCCACTAACTTTTCCTTTCTCTCTTCTCTTCATTCTTCACTCATCATTACCACCTTTGCTTCTTCTACCACAGTACTATTTTTCATAATCCACCACCTCATTTAAGATATTAGAGTTCACAAAGTCAAGTCACGCGCATGCAAAGACAAATATCCATGCTGGTCCACTTTCAGAACGCCAATACAGATATTTTGTTGCAGTTGATTACCAACTCATTATACTCACCGTAGATGAGAGCAAACATGGCAATGATCACGGATTTGATGTACAAAATTAAACTACTTTCCAATCATTTTTGTGTGATATTGACATGGAGGAGAAAGTTAAGATTGATAATTTTAAATCTTCTTATAACATTTTTTCTATTAATCATCCTACTTATCTTTTTATGGTTGTAAGACATTGAATATGTTTACCTTTTTATGAAGCACAGGAATAGGAATGTGGAATGTGATCTTTGACATAGATTGTAAAACGATAGTAGATTCAATACTTTAACTAGAGGATGATGTACCTAAAATTGGAGTCATCCTTTAAGACTATAGGTACATGTTCATTTTTAATCTTAACATTAGAAATGAATTTATTAAAAGACAACCCCTAACATGATCTAGCCCCTATTGTATTCTTTCTACCTTGCATATAATTGCTTCTAAAAAATATAAATTGTATTTAATATTATTTGATGTTTTAATATACAATACTAAAAAAGAATTGGTGAGATTTGTAACCAAAACACAATATAATTCTTTTGTTTAATGTCGTCTAATTGTCACTAAGTGACATGATGCATTCTGTTGACATTATTCATGCTTTCAAAGGCTTGAATTACATACAAAACATGCCGAATGAAAAAAAAAAAAAAAAAAAAAACTCAAGTTCAAACAATGTTTTTGTGAATGGGTGAGAGAATTATCATTAATAATATAAACTTTTCTATAACTTTAGTGTAAAGAATAATAGGTCGCTTTGCATGGTGGCACAATGTCCTCGGGAAACAACAACCTTGACATTAATGAAACCAGAAGAGGAAAATTGATAAGAAGTTATTGGACTAAGCAACTTTTTATTGGAAAAGAAGAGACATCCTTCGAACTTCCCACTAATTAGTCTCGCATTTTTATTCCATCATCAATATGATTAATGCATTGGATATCTCAGAAATAGATAGAGTTGCAAGGGTGGTTCATCGGTTTGGGATGTCGATAAATAAAAAATTTTAGTGGTTTGATTTATATTTTAAAGTAGATTAAAATTTTTAGTTTAATCAATATTAAAAAATATGTAAATAAAAATAAAAATAAATATTTTTAAAATTTAAATCTTATTAATAAATTTAATTTTTATTTAAGATAATATAATTTAATATATAAAAATATAAGAGAAAACATTCATTCAAAATAATAATAATAATAATTAAAAATTTACTCTTTATTATTATTATTATTATTATTATTTATTTTTAGTAATTTATTAACTTAAATAGTAATTAATTTAAAAATAATATTATTTTTATTTAAAAAATAATAATTATTTTATAAAATTAATTATCTCACAAATCTATAGACATCAAACCTAATTTCATCTATTCCTACTAAATTATATCAAAATATATTTAATTCAATTTAGGTCCTTTTAACTTAATCTCGTTAGGACTTCAGATTTTTTTTCATCTCTTATAAATAGATCATATTTTTAATAAAAAAATTTTAGTGAATAAGAAAGTAAAAATATATATTTAACTTATAGGTTTAAATATATTATGGATTTTTTATCATGTACATATTAGATATTAATTAAATTCTATTTTTAACTAATGTTGTTTATGTAATAAATTATTTATTTAAATATATTTTTCTTATTTAATTTTGTGGACTTGTTTTTTATCATTGTTTTTACTAATACTCAACTTAACAGTTTCTTCCAGGGTAAAATTTTAACATTACTATAGAAAGTTGCAAACAAAACACCGTTCATGTATGGTTGGTCTTCCTCAACCTGGCAAACCATTCCTACAAACCCTATTCTTGAAATCAAGTGGAGGAATAACCAATACTACAACTTGTTCTTTTTCCAAGAAAAAGAAAAGTCCAGACAAACAAAATCATGTCCCTCTGATATTAAAGAAAAGAAAAGAAGGAAGTACACAAAACAATAAATTTTAAATCCTATTGTTCTACTTTTAGTTAATTTTCTTTTAAATTTATACTATTAGACATTGTGATGGTTTTTTTTTTATTATTAATGTGTTGGGGACAAACCATTGTTCTATTATGAAATTCGTCAAATTGCTTTATTCTAATTATGTAGCACTTTTAATTAAAATAGTATCATTCAATTATTAAGATTGATTACATAGTCTCCATTATAATTTGAAAGAGAAGTTTCCACTGATACGGATACCAAAACTTACCCATTGAATATTTATACTATATAATTTACACAACATACATAATAATTTTTAAAATAAAATTTTCTGTATAAGATATATATATATATATATATATATATTATCCAAAATTAATTTATTTTCTGTCTAATGAAACTTATTATTTGCATTATCTATTCTCATATAAATATATAATTATTAAAATTACAATAATACATAAAAAATAGAATAATAAATTTAGCAATTTACATGTGTCATACTATAATTTTTCTAAATGTATAACATAAAAGTATATAAGATATGTCTCACACTCTTACATGACAAAATGAATTTTATAAACTTAATCATTCTATTTATATGCTTCCAATGATTAATTGAGTTAGGATATCTCTTATTAAATTAATCAATTAATACTCACACAACATGCATATATCATACTTAAAAAAATACTCAACATGGCTTTAGACTCTAACCAACAAAGTAAAACTCTAATCCACAAATTCAATACATTTATATTTGTGTAAGAAAAATTATCAAACCACATGCAAGCCTATAAAATCCTTACATAAAAAAAAT